CTTTTATAAGCACGTACACTCCCATGCCGACCTTTTCTTCTTCTTACAGTAGTACTCCCGTTATTGGATATGGTATATTTACCATACTTGGTATATGAGACTATCTGCAACCCTTTTTTTGATGCGGGCCCTTTTTTTGGCAACGCCTTTATATAAACAAATAAATTCTAGCATTCTATCTCGGCAACTTTTTTCCACGTTCATATCCTACTCGTAACGCCATAGAGAATAAAAAGAGAAACTATCTAGATAGGTGCTGGCCCAAAGAACCCGCCCGAGTCTACTTCCTTGACATTCTCCCCCTGCTCACCTTGGGGAACTCAACAGGAATTTTTAGCCTGGCAATTCTCTTCGAAGCAGCCTCTGCTTTACCCCCCTTGATGCTCCATTTAGCAAACTCCGTCTCCCTAGGCTTATCAACCCTACAGCCCAACTCCCTGAAATACTTCAGAATTGTATCATTCTCCAGCCGTAAGTCATCACGCAGGTCTGACGGATCAGTAGCCAGCTCGCTCGCACTGCCTCCTCCCGTCTTGCCTGATGCAGGTGGGATGTGTAGTGACATTGCACATATAGTAGTATGCAACAACGTAATATCATTACGGGAGAGGAATGAGCCCTGCGGAACGAACTTGCGACGTATAGAGTCCAGGAACGGATCCGTTATCGTAGGAGTAGTGCTGGTTTCGGAATCAACGGCCTTGGAAAGGAGGCGACGCAGGTCTTCGCGGGGCGGAAGTTTCTTGCTATCGGGCCCGCGGCCACCGCCAGAAGACCGCTTGAGAGAACGCGAGAACTCGATTAAAATCAGTATGAAGCGGAGGAGCTGCACGATCGTCTTATCGCCCGATTGAACGGCTGCTTCGACCCGATTAGCCACGAAGCGGGAAGTGGTCGTTATACCCTCGGAAGCAGCCACGGCAGCCTGCCAGTCTTGAACTGGTATTTTGCGCAATGTCGGTAGACCGTTTGGAACCAGGCTCTCGATACTATACACGTCTGCGGGCTGGGTTGCAGACAAGTTCGGCTGAGGGAGTGGTTTGGACGCTTGGATCTCTTCTTGGGCGGATTTCTCTGCTGCTGCGATAGTCATTGCATCTTGAGGCATGGATGAAAGGAGGGCGGATTCCGCTGCTTTCGCAGACGAGGCAGAGGCGTTGGAGGTCAGAGCATTCTCTGTAATGGCGGCAACTGCTTTACGAGCAAGTTTAGTTCCAAATGCCGCAGCCAGTGCGGCTCGTTGGGAGAGGGCAGTTGGCTGCAAGTGCACTTCGTTAGCATATGACCATCTCCGCCAGTGGTGAGACAAAAAAGGGCATACCGCAGATTCTTCATCTGTGTCTTCCTCGACATCCACAATAGCTGCCCTCGGGCACCCTCGCACCATCATCTTCCTTGCTTCCAGAAGCTGAACGGTGTTTTCCTTTGGGTCGTAGACCGCAACATAGTGGTTTAACAGATTGTCCAGCTCATTCTCGCCTTCTCTACCGGTAAAATTGAGCTTGGGATGTCCGGATGTATGCAGGAGCAGCTCTGTCGAGGACAAATTTGTATTTTCAATATGTTTGATGCGCTGTTGCCGCCGTCTCATGTACGTGTTGAGCGGAAGTGTCTCTGGGACTGTAAGACCAGGTGAAGAAGCTAGAAGCCAGGTCGTTAGCCATACATTCGCTTCTATAGGATTGGAAAAAAGAACATACCTATGATCGGGACATGTCCTGCTTCGTTGTTCATGAATCGTACCTTTGCTGGCGCAGCGTTGGAGTCGATGGCAGGTTTTTTGCTTGGCCGTTCAGGTCGGTCTGACGCCCGTTTCCTCTTCTTTTCGACAAGAGAGCTGCCCATTGTGAGTGTACCTGGTTAATTGATAGTTATTATAACGGTTACTCGGTATGGTTAATGTGTAGGTATGAATGGCCGAACGATGAATATTCGAGGCTAAGAAAAAAAAAACCATCTTTGCGCCAAAGCTCCACATCCACAAGCGCACAACCATCAACTGTTAGATATGAGGGTAAAAACCAAGATCGACTACATCTACAGAAGAAAAAGCAGCAGAGATTTATATGCTTGAAAACTTCCAGTTTCGTATTCTGAGACTTGTCACTATCAAACAGGCACAAGTGAACGCATTAATTACAAAAGAGTAAAAGTAACACACAAATCGTCAGAATGAAGAAACCGTCCAAGTAACTTTCACCATCTCTGTGGTAGAAGAGGGCCGTGTAAAAGAAACCCCCATTCATAAATTGACCAGCCTGGCCATTCCCATACTCATTAGAAGATAAATGCTTTTTCATCACCCGTTGACCGTAAAAACAAGAGACTAGAGAAAACGGTATGCCCCTCAGGATAGAGTCAGTTCCCATACATCCAAATTGATTCCTGGGGAGACATCGCGATGGCGGCGGATCAATCGGCATTCCCAAAGGGTATATTTGGCGGGGGTTGAGGTTTGAGAAGACGATTATCATATATAGATCCGGTTGGAGACGACATCACTGAGACAGGTCGGTAGATCATCGTTTCCGTCATAGTTCTGGTTCAGGCGTTAAGGGCGGGCATAGGCGGTTTGGCTGAGACAGAGCGGTTGAATAGTTTACTTGCTGCAGAGGGAGTTAGCCGTGACATCCATCTTCTTCAGTGCGAACATGCGACTCGTGCTGGACATACCTTCTGGCTCTAGTCTTACGGCGCTTACGCTTGAGGCGGCGAACTCGCTTCTTTCTCCACTTAGCTCTCATCTTCGTAGAGTTGCTAAGGCTGTGATGAGCAGATGGTTAGCAGCCAGACAAGGCCATCGAACTGCCAGCAAACAGAGCCCGACATACCTTTTCTTCGTAGATGAGGATGGTTGAGGAAGAAGAAGTTCGCTTGGAAAGCTCAAAAAGTAAAGATCTTTGTATGTGTGTGTGATGACTAAGCACACTAGTCTACTTTGGGAAGCGAGGCTAGTGACCCACGTCATATTACGTAATGAGCTAAAAAGGAGGGCACGAAAAGGGAAGAAACGAGGAAGATGGAAGATGATAGAAGAACAGGTTTCATTTTAGATGGAGACAGTAGCGAGCACTAGCGAGCACTATAGAGAAATATTCCAGCACACAGACACAATTTTTTTAACAAAAGCTGATGATCCACCAGTAGAATAGCCGAAAAAGGAGTCAAGTAGAGGGTAAAATAAAGAGGTAAAATAAAGAAGATCAGGCAGTGGCAGCAGCAAGAGTCTGTGAAAGTGGCTCTACAGGAGTTGCGGCAGGCTGAGAGTTGCGGGTGATACTGACGCCGACTCGCTCGTTTCCAAGGAGGTCAGCCAAGAGAGGGCTGGGACGGTTATCTCGTCCAGGTTGGTGGACCGCCTGGCTGGACCTGTACTTTTGGACGCTGTCGAGGTAGATATCGAACAGATAAGACGAGTCGAGAGGCCCTCCCTTGGCTTCGGGGTGGAATTGAGTGCTGAAGATAGGTCGGGATGTGTGAATCATTCCTGCGGGGATTTTACATTAGCTAAAGAAATGACAAAAAAGTAATGAAAGGAAATACCACATACCCTCGTTGCTATCGTCATTGAGATTGATAAAGTATGGCTTCCAGTCACTTGGAAGGGTGCTGGCATCGACAGCGTAACCGTGGTTCTGACTGGTGATGTGACAGCGGCCGGTGGTCAGGTCCATGGCAGGGATGTTGTGAGCTCTGTTACCATACTTCAACTTGACGGTACGGGCTCCAACGGCCAAAGCCAGGAGCTGGTGGCCAAGACAGATACCCATGATCGGGATTTGGGAGGTCTTCATCAACTTGGCAAGGGTATGGACGGTCTGCGTACAGTGGGTTGGGTCACCGGGACCGTTGGAGATGAAAACACCATCAAAGTGATGGGCAACCTTGTAGACCGGGTAGTCGTAAGGGAAGACCGTCACACTAGCTCCACGGCTGACGAGACTTCGGAGGATGTTCTCTTTCACTCCACAGTCAATAACAGCGACGTGAGAGGTGCTGTTTGCGGCACTGACGTGGAAGGGAGACTTGGTGCTGACTTTTTTAACGAGGTTGATCTGCTCCGGGTCGACAAAGGCCTCGTCCTGGTCGGCATCGTACTCCTCGCCGACAGTGATTCGAGCGAGAGACGAGCCCTGTTCACGGAGATAGGTGACAATCTGGCGGGTGTCAACGCCGGAGATGGCAGGGACACCCTCTCGGATGCACCATTCGCTCAAGCTCTCGACGGCGGTCCAGTGACTGTATTTGAGAGCGGCGTCTGCAACGACGACACCGACGGCCTGGAGACTAGGGGACTCAAAGTACTTGAGAAGACCATGCTGGTCACGTTCGGCAGATGGGATGCCGTAGTTGCCTATCAACGGCTGGGTGAAGACAAGAATCTGACCACGGTAGGATGGGTCACTGAGGGACTCTGGGTAGCCGACGAGAGAGGTGGTGAAGACGGCCTCGCCAGAGATGTTGGACTTTGCTCCAAACGACTTTCCATGGAAAACGGGCCCGTCACGGATGGTGAGGGTGGCACGTTCGTTGACAGATGGAGCAGCAGGAGCCTTGGCTGACATGGGTCCCCCGTTCACGACGGAGGCCATCAACCGCGCCTGGACTGCGAACCGCTGGGGTAAGCCGCGAGCCGCATGGACCTGGGATGGCAAGGATCGAATAGCTCGAGAGAACATGGTGGTTTAGAAGGGTAGTTGGTTTGCTGTGTAAAGTTGGGTAGTAGGCCAGTCGGTCCGATGAGTGACTCAGTTAACTGCGGCTTTCCACAGGTGGTCTATCGGTGTGTTAGCATGGCTCCATCTACGTCTGCCGTAGCTAGGCAGCTGAGTGCTCCGTAGAGCAGAGCAACGGGTCTCATGGCCCATACCTGAGATATAGTCCTGTAGAGAAAAGAAGCCACGTTAGCACCTATCCTGACCCTGTCTGGCCAGCAGCACACACAGCCTTGCTTCAGGGGGATAAGAGTCATACTTGGGAGGTAAAAACTGAAGCGAGCACACGCATAAGCACTTATCTGCCCTTCAGGACTTGAATATTTCTGTTGAGTTAGAGAGAAAAGAAAAGAAAAAGGGGGGAGGATGATGAGAGAAGTTGAGATCGTGCAGTTCGTGGTTGTTGTTTGATGGTTCGAAAGTTGACCGGAAAAGAAAAAAGTCCAGCTTTTTTTCTCGCGCCTTTTTTTTTAGTGTCACGGTTGGAAGGCGGTGAAGCGGCAAAGAGCGAGTTTTTTAGCTTTACCCCAGCAGAAACCGACCAATAAGAGACGCTGGACTGCGGTATCTGTATGGTAAAGTGAGGAGTATCTCTGCCAGATCTCGCGGTATTCTTGTATGATACTGTTATTAAGTGGGGCCATCCGAACCGCGGCTCTTCAGGAGAAAGACGAGACAGCAAGATATAAAAGGAGGGTTGGCGGAGGCCGTAGAGGCGGGAGGATACATACCTACGGAGTCGAGATAAGGTGTCAGGTTGGAGGCCAGAAGGTGTCTCCTGTTATGCAGAGGCCTTGGTCTCTTATTATTTGGCCAGTCTATGTTCGTGGCCTGTTCTTATGTTGAATCGGCCCCCGGTTGGCGATTGCAAATGTCTTGACGGTAGCGCCCGGAAAATACCATATACCATAACACCCATTGTTAGGAGTATCTCGAGGCCCGTCGGATACCTGGAATACCATGGAATAGGAGACACCGGACAGGTTGGCCCTTAAGGGTTGAAAAGACTCTATGCCGCGCTTACGAAGATATCCTTTGCTAAGGTAAAGCCTCTTTGATAGTATACTACTTTGTGGCATGGTCTCTGTTGTTTGCATTGATCTGCTGCTTAGATATCTTGCTTCATGGGTCTTATATTGATATCACTATTTATTGAGTAGACTCAGTAGTACTCAATGGGATATAACATGAAGAAAATCCACTCTCTCATTTATTCCCTTCTATGTACATTGTTGCTTTGAGGGAGCTACCTTTTACATATGTTGTTGTATTGTTACTGTGTTGGCTTCCTATTCAACCGTCCACCACAACACAATAAGAACATAATACTTCAGCTATACATCTCAGAAGGACTGCCAGAATCTTCCATCTACTTGTATGACTTCATTGACGCGCTCTAAAATCTCTGTGCCAGCCGTTCTGGCCACAGTCGGCTTGCCTTCAAATCCTCGCTTAGTCTTTAGCGCCAAATGCCCAGATATAAAACCCCCTTTTTTCTCTTCTTCCTCTCACTTTGGTTCTTCCCTTCTCTCTCCTCTCTCTCTCTCTTCGGCCGTCAACTAGATACAGGCTGCTGTATCTGGTTTTCTTCCTTTCCCCCCTTTTATTCCGTCTAGCTTCTTGCTAGGTAAGGTGTTCTCTTCCAGTGCTCGGTTTGTTGATATCAAGCACTGACGGTATCTTGGTGCAGACTCCCTTGGAAGCTACTACAGTCACTTGGCGACAAGTATCTGGGAGTAAGTACCATCTTAGCATCTTACCTCTACCACAGCTAGCGATATGCTTACCTGTCTCTTCCCTTTAGGCTTTCCCTTCCGTTTTCCTTTCTTCTTTTTTGGGTCTCTCTATGGGATTCCCCTGTTATGATCTACTAGACTGTCTAATAGATCATAGCAGTGATGACAACCTCCAGATACACATCTATTTTCTTATTTTAGCTGACAAGTCCAACTTTTCGAGTTGAACTTGGGCATTTCTCCTTTCTCCTTTTTTTTTTTTTTTTTTTTCATCATGTCCTTCCGCAGGCCGGGAAGACTGAAGAAGAAAGTAGAGGAATGAGTGGAAATTATATCTTACTTCCTTTTATTTCTGAAGGCCTACAGAGGCTGGGTGGAGAGAGAATGTTGCATGGTCAATGGACCTGGTCTGCTGGGCCTAGCTTCGGGTGTCTACACGGTAGGGAGCTCTGTTATGTTGATTATATTGACTCTCCCTTGCCATCTCTTAGAAGCAAACCACTCTGGTATATTATACAGCCATCCTACTCTCAGTAAGAGACAAACATCTACGAATAACTGCACCAGCGGGCATGAAAAAGAAAAGCTTGTGGAATGGGTGACATCTAGTTTGGGGTCCCGGTGAGATGTGCAGGTCACTTCTCAGTTATGTCAAAGTCAGCTCTTCGAAAATTTCCTTGAATGGCTATACAACTCGTCACTAGAAGAGATATACGCGATTTTTTAAAAAATCACTTGGAAGATAGAGGTATCCCACAGTGAAGAGATGCACTATTGCTATCCAGGTCTGTATATATGTTCTCTCTATAAATATCAAAATAATAGTTGGAATTGACCGGTTTGAATATAAATAATGTTTTATACTGCCACCATCAAGGCTAGAATCCGAGCATTCAGTGTTCTAACCTGCCAGGCAGAAAAGGTTAGCTTAGTTGACTACCAAGTATTAGTTTCTCGTAAAAATGTAACCACCAGAACTTCACAGTGCCAACCTTTTCAGACATCTCAGTCAATACTCAACAGATATACACTGTTCATGTTCATAATCTTGCTGCTGCCATGGCTGCCGCGGGTGCCACCATGGCCATAGGCCAACGACGACTAGAGCAGAATCGCCAGGAGCGTCGACGCCAACGCCAGAAGAACCAAAAAGCTGCATCTCAGACGTCTTCTCCAGGAGCCGGCGTTGGCCAGGATAGGTCTTCTTCAGATACCAAACTTGATGCTGGCTATCTGTCGTCTCCAGACAGCGGATATGACCCGGACGTGTCTTCAGACACAGAGACTGACCAGGGTACGTACAAGCATATGCTACCAGTTTTTTTTTGTGACTTATACTATTATACCCTGCTCCTAAATATGTTATCTGGGGCTGCTAGCTCATGCATGCATGCAGTTCAAAGGATTTAGCACTCGGGTGGGCGCAGAACAGTCGGCGCCTACATAGGTAGATGATAGGAGAGGGAAATAAAAGCCTAGATAAAGGGCTGGCTGGAAGCACGACAATAGGTATGTGTCTGTCTCTATTTTTTTGGCCTGAATTTACTTGATATTTTACCAGTTTAAAGTATTATCTCAAGCACAGCGAGTCGTGGGGTACAAGGGAGCAGCAGGCTTATCAGGCCCGGGGTACCAACGTAAGCAAGTCACCGGTCGAAGTCGCAAGGGTTCTAAGCCATTATGCAGTGGCCAGGCTTTATGGAGTATCTTCTGCTTCGAACAGTTCTGAGACAAGCATCTGTTGCTTTAGTTTCTCGATTAGAGCATGTCTTTATATTTGATACAAGTCTTTTTCTGGTGAAAAGCTGAACTTATTAACTGTTTATTGAACTATATATCTAAGGCCTAAAAACATAATATTCCATTGTATTCGGTTATGGAATTTTTGGTCAGGATATGTACGTAAAACGGGGCATTCTACAAGAAGAAGGTGATGGCGGCGAGAACCGACACTCCCAACACAGAAACAGAGAACTCCTTTACGGATCCTTCACTGCTAGAAGTTGGAGATGGAGGAGAGGTAGAGGTTGGTGGAGGGCCTTGCTTCTTTCCAGCGGGGCTCTTCACAATGTAATTCTCAACCACTGCAGTTCCATCCTTGACTGCCTTAACCTGTTCCTCGGAGCAAGTTCGGCCCATTGAGAGGACATAGCAGGTTGGCTCTGGCTCTGGAGGGATATCGTTCTTGATGTGGAACGTATCAGCGGTCCCGGTAGTAGAGTAGTCGGGTTTCTGAGCAATGTCGATTTCTCCGGTAGCGATGTCCTTGTTGAACATGATACGATGGAAAATCTCCAGGGATACTTCAGGCTGGTAGGCAGGGACTTCGTGGCCAGCTTCGTAAACGCGGGTGAAAGAGAAGTTTCCGTACTGACGGACCTGGCCACCAACTTGAGAGTTGACCTTGACGTCCGTGTATCCTGCCTTGTGGAAGTTTTCGGTACCGGTATAGTTGAGAGCAAGACTGACCTTCTCACCACCAAACCAGTTACAGATGTAGTCTCGGTCACCATAGACAAGGGCAACCTTGATGCCATTTTCGAGGAGATAAGCCAGGTCATCAATATAGCCGCGGACATCACCACGACCGTAGTCACCAACGGTATGGAAAGCCTTCCACACGGCATCGGAGGCTTGAGAGAAGTTGACTGGCATCCCCATGTCGGCGAGGACGTGGGCTTGGCTAAGGTAGCCCTTGTAGAACTGTGGAGGGAAGGGATCATTGAGAGGGTGGGCAATGTCATAGAACCCAAGATTGGCACTTTCAAATGCATCTTCTAGCTTCTGGCCGCAGAAGTCCCCAGCATCATTACAGATCTTGTTGACAGTCTCATTGTGGCTGTAGAAGTGAGGGTCACTTTCGGCAGCAACATCGCGACAGTGGATGAGCTGGTCACGGCAGCCACCAGTGCGGTAGAACTCATTAATCATACTGTCATACTGGCTTTGGTTATAAGCCTTGATGCCGTATGTGTTGTTGTATGCAAAATCAGGATAGCTCGTGGCCTGTTCCATGAGATCGACACAGCCGTTGATGATGCCGACAGTATCGAGGTGGAGAATGTGCATTTCGCCTTCCTCTGTGATGGTGTGGTTCTTGATTTTTTCATTTTGCTCCTGGAAGTAGGAGGTGAAGGCAGGGCCATATCTTCCTCCGTAGGACTCAGTCCAGATGCTGACCTTGTCGTTGTTGGGCTTGTATTCAGGGAATTCCTGGAACCACACCTGTGCGAAGTGCCAGATAGAACGAGCAGCGTTCTGAGTATTGTTGGCAGTGGCATATGGATTCTGGCTACCGAGAGTTCCAACTAGCAGGGTGTTGTTTTGCTCGGGCACGCCGTTTGAAAAATCAGCAACTGTTACTTCGTCATTAATGGGGTTGACAGTGACATTGGTAGGCACATCATAGCTGAAGCCAACTTGGTTTGGCTGATCAATGTAAAGCATGTTCACTTTATTGTTCCATGAGTAGGGGTTATTGGTAGTAGAGTTAGAGTCATTGTTAACCATGCAAGGCCCGTTCTCCTGGAACAATCCAATCATGGATGAAGAACCGGGGCCACCGTTCAGCCAGATGGAGAGAGGAGCATTCTTAGGATCTTCACGGGCCTCGAAGAACCAGAAGAAGGTGTTGATGGAGTAGTTCTGGTTGACACCGAAGTCATTGTTGTTTGGAGGGAGGTGGACATGACCAGTAAATGATCTCACTCCCTCAGTGGTTTCACAAATGTCATTCTAGAGGGTAGGTTAATAACGGCGTAACAATAAACAATTTCTGTTAGTGTAATTAATCATACCTCCTTATAAGTGATCTTCACATTCTTATCGAACTTGGACTCGACCACAGTGACACCCTCAACAGGCGGGGGGAAGTATTGCGCACTGGCAGCGCCAATGAACGGCAAAGCCACGGCCAATCCTGTTGCAAGATGCATCGTGGGTATGTTTAACCCCGAAAAGAAAGAAGAGAAGAACAGCAAGCTCAAGAGATAAGCTTAACTTGGAGCTTCTGATCAATGCCACTAGGGAAGAAATCAACCCGTTACTTCCAGACGGGCCCCAATGCCCTTTTATAATTGTAAAAAAGAAAAGAGAATGATAATAGGAATTTCACCGAAGGGCGAAAGGGGAGCGGGGGAGGTATTTCTGAGAGGGCATGTTACATGCCCCAGATTGTGCGAGAGCTAGCCTCAGTCAAATTGGCCTTGATACGGGGCTCCTGGCCAATAACAGGGACGACGATCCCCGGGATTGTTAGGTCTGATCCATGACCGATTTTTGTTTTCTGGGTATCAACCCCAGCTTGAAAGAAAGAGAGATGAGCGGGGAAAGAGGTTGTTTCGACGATAATGACAAGGTATAAGGGCATCAATGCTCTCTATAAACCCCTGTCTAGTGCGGAGGAAGGGATGCAACGTTGAATAACCTTGCTCGTTGACTAACTAGAGTCAAGCCTCACCAAGCAAAAGCTTCGATGGAGCATCCTCCCCACAGGAAATCCGTATTCTTCCGGCTGTTATCGGCATCCTGAAGGGCGCCAAATTTAGGGCGCATGTTGTGGAAGATTTTGGCCCTCGGGTTGTTATGGGAGAAGCTCTATGGAACAATCCCAGTGTCGACTATGACCGCAAACAGGTATAGTAATGTATAGCTATAAGCTCGTCAGGCGATCGATCAGCTTTCCACAATTCTTCCAAAGTGGGCTCCATCTATTGGGACCTTGATAGTCTCGTAGCGTCCTGTCCTGTGGGGATTTACGTACTCTGTACATATAGTTATGCGGAGGAGACACTGGACATTTCTATCCGGGCGGAGTAACGAGTTGGGCGTGACCTCCTACCAACAATTAACCAAAAGCCCCTGGACAAGTTTTACCAACCGACAGGACGAGTAGAAAGCCGTTTCAGACCCATATATACCTGCCGCCAGGCCACACCCTTGGCCTCTTAACGTCTTCTTCCCGCCAACCATAGAGAAGTGAAAACTTGGAAATGGATGTCGGGTTTTGTTTCCCCATCAGGGAGCTATCAAGTCCCCTGGTCAAGCTCACGCCTTTTGACGTACGAGCCCATCACATATAAGTAGCAATATAGTAATAATATGCGAGAGATCGCCGTGTGCTAATATGCAAAATGATGCTGTATAGCCCTCCCGCCATTCAAGGCGGTATCTTGAGCAGTCAATCGACCATCCAGAGATATATGCTCATATGCCGCCTGGACCGTACAAAGATGTCGAAGAGTTCGAAGCCAAATATATTCAAGGCACAGTCTACAGCGATAAGACCAAGACGGTTTTTGCCATTATAGATAGAACCAAAGCTGGGTTGGAGGAGGATGGCGGCGCTCTCGCTGGAATCGTGTCCTACACTAATGCTTCTGTGGCCAACCAGCTGCTTGAAATCGCATTTTTGGTAGTGTTGCCTGCCTTTCAGCGTACTCATGTAACAACCCATGCGGTGGGACTGTTGCTGCAGTATGCGCTCGATGCCCCAGACTGTAATGATCCCCAAAAGGGAGGGTTGGGCCTGCGTAAAGTGCTATGGCAGACTGGCACGACAAATGCAGCCTCCCGGGCGACGGCCAAGAAGATGGGGTTTGAGCAGGAAGGGATCCTGCGGTGGGATCGAGTGTACTATGACGCTGTGCCAATGAAGAAAGAAAGCAATGGAAGGCGGATGCCTGAGCATGGGGATGAGAGACATTTGGGCAGAGATACAGTGTTCTTCGGGCTGTGCTGGGATGAATGGCATGATGGGAAAAAGCAGATGGTACAACAGCGGATGGAACACTTTTTGCAATGATTAAAACAGCAAACGCGAGAATATAAATAGACAGCGGCTAGTGATAGACAAATATACATATATCTACTCCGTGTAGCCTAAGGAGAACATTCTATAACGCCACGATAGAAACCCAAAAAATATACCAAGCTCGAAACCATACGAGCTTGAGCTCATCGCATCTTAACTTCAAGCAGATATTTGATCCGTATCTGCGCCACGTCGTACACGATATATTCGTTGTACTGGAGCCAGACGCCGTTAGTATCATTTCGGCCAAGGGGGTTAGAGCAGTCCGGCATCATAACTCCCGCAAGGTCCTTGTGGACGCAGCCAGCATCCTTCCATCCACTGGGAATAGACTGTCCAAGACCCAGGGTGGCCAGCTTATTGGCCTTCTTTACGGCATCGGCGGCGTTGTAATCAGAGCCCATCAGCTCATGCATAGGGTCACCCAGTTCAACGTCGCAGAGCATGAGCAAACCGATGTTGTTACTGAGGTTGTGATAACAGTAGTTGGCAGACTTGCTTGAGACATCGGCAAAATAGACACCTTTTCCGAACATATACCCAGTAACAGGCGCCTCTGGGGGAGCGATTCGAAGGCCTTGACTGAGAATACCACCGTAGTTGGTGGTACGAGAGCCGTGCCACAGCAGACGACGGTTGGTGTTTGGTAAATTGGCGTATGGAGATTTATCATAGCGTTCCGCTTCCCCGGTACGTTCGATTCGGAAGATGTTCTGTAGCTATTAATATTGTCAGCCTTATCTTTACCATGGAATAAAAAATAGCTTCATCAAGTCAGAACCTACATTGTATGTAATGCTGTGCGTTGCACCGTGAGATCGATTAAGGTAAGTCGCCAACTCCGTGTACTCAATGGAGGTGGGGTCGACTAGAAGTACCTTTGTTAGCATATTGAAGGAAGCAATGGCATGAGAAGAAAAACTAACGAGGCGTCATTTCGTCTAGACCAAGGCCCATGAACTGCCTGTCAAGAATATGAACAGGATCGTCATCCTCTTCCTCTGAGGCACTCATAATCTTGCTACTGATCTCCATGTCAGACAGTGCTTCAAGCAAATCGACCTCTTTCTTGATCTGCTGTGCCGTTCGAAGTATTGGCGGTCGATTCCTGCCAAACGCATGAGGAATGATGCTGAAGTACTGGTTGCTCAGCTGTTCGATTTTCCACTGGTTACTCGCACGCTTAGCGGCATCATGTACGAGGGTGTCCAGCTGCTTTAGGGCCTCGAAACCTTGTATGAGAGTCCGTTTGCTAAGTTTCCCCAGTGGTAGCTCCTTTGCGTCGTATGACATCTCCTTCATCGCCGCATTGAAGAAATCATGGTTGAAAATCATTGCGACGAGGCGTTGTACGGCTTCATGCAAAGTACAAGCTGCCTTCTTGACTTCCTTCTTTGGCTTGTCTTCCTTAGCCTTCTTCTTTTTTGGCTCTTCATCCGCATCATCCTCATAGGTTCGTTCTACATAAGTGTACTTATTGTTTCTGGGGCTGGCATTGCGGTTGCTCCAGGCGAGACCACTCTTATCTTTGAACTTTTTGTCAAATGTGTTCAAAGCCTGGTCGAAGTTGGACGCCTTGAGGTGGGCAGTTTGTCCCTTTTCGCCAACCCTACCCCATCGAGTCCAAGTAGAAAACTGCCCAGGCGCTGGCCCTTCGAGTAGTTGGATGATGTAAAATTTGTTATTGTTGGCGCCTGCATCAGTTCGGTTCAGTGCAGCGTCAAAGGCAACACCTTTATCCAGGCAAACTTTGTAGCCATCTAAATAGGTAAGCCGTGTTAGATCTAATAGACTAATGTCGAGGGAGTGATAGCGCTTACCTTTGCCTGGAACAAGATCATCAACTGGGATATTGACAGCAGCCTTATCGTCTGCTTTGGTATTTTTAGTATCCTTGGCATCTTTGCTACCTTTAGTGTCTTTAGTAGCTTTGGTAGTAGTATTGCCCTTGGCTTTGGTTTTGGTATCTGCCACATTGGCCTTTTTCTTCTTTGCCGGCGGCTTATCAGCGTCGTCATCTTCATCGTCGTCTTTCTTATTCTTGGGTACTCTCTTGCTCTTCGAATTGGCCGTTGCAGGCTGCGATTGAGGCCCGGATTGGGATTGAGGTTGAGACACTGGTTGTGACTGCGACTGCGATTGAGACTGAGACTGAGTTGCTCGACCAGACCTTCGCGGACCAGTACCGTCCACAGAAGGCTTGCCGGCAGGCGGTAACGCAAGAGAGTAAGGAGTATCATCCATAAGCTGCCCCTTATCGCGTGAATCTGTCAACCACTCGAGGGAGACGATCTTGATATCATTCCCTAGGGCAATAGCCTGCTTGTCTGAACATAGTGTGAGCGGTACTGTTCTGATGTATGAAGGACCGAGCAACTGGGTAGATTTCAACCCATTGACATTAATGGTACATGCTTTTGGTCGAGTTCGAGCTCGACATGAGGATGAGAAAAGGTCCTATTTACTCTTTGTACCGGCCGGGTGCGCAGCCTTTGTAGTAATGAGATGTGTGCAATCATCGTTCACTTTCGCGCTAAAGCTGCCTCCCAGCGATTCAACGATGTATTTTATAGTATCTGAGGGAAGAATTTATCAATTGACTATATATTAAGAGCGCAGCATGCTTCTCGATACTGGACGATGGGGGCCAAAGGGACACAAGAGCTTACCGTGATTGTAGTCCCGGAAGCTACCGCTCACCACAACGACCTGGTCGACGAGAGGTTTGGCCATTTTTTTATATAGAAAAGGAGGGAGAAAGAGGGAAACTGTTTGTCGCAGTGTGACGAAGAAAAAAAATATAAAAGAGAAAGGGGTGGAGGAAAAGGGGAATGAAACGAGGATATTTATATCATCAACTTTCCCCGGAGGTGCCAACAAAGTTGAAAAAAAGGCGCCCGAAGCTTGAGCTCCAGGCTGCAGCCCCCTTTTAGGCTAAGCGCCGATAATTCCGTGCGGCTCTTTGCTTATATAATATGAGCTAAAGATAGGCAGAAATTGCTGCCTGGATGAGGCAGATAAAAGGCGAAGAGAATAAATATACAGTGAAGTCATATATGCATGGTTGGGGCTAAAAGTACATCTCTGCGTCGGGGACAGACAGGCAAAGAGATCAAAGGAACAAAACTGGGACGCCAGAAACAATATCAGGGCCGAAAATAGCGAAAGACAAAAAACCCCAGCTGGATATAATATATAACAGAGTAAACGCCCGTTCCCTTCCGATCCTCCATTTTGCAAATAGCAAGGCACAAGTATACTCCCAAAAGGAAACAATAAAAAGATAGCCCAATTCCAAATGGTACTGTGATCGAAAAAGAATAAAGCGGAACCAGAACCAGAACCAAACCATACCATACCATACCAAACCGGAGTCCGTGCTCGAATATAAATAAGCCAGAAGTGCAGGAAAGGCCAAGCAAAAATAAGAGAATAAGATGGCAAATCTCAGCCAGATAGGAGAAGATGAGAGGTGGATTAGAAAAATGACTAATTTATCGTAATGACGATCATGTAGAAGGATATATATATAGTTCAAAGAAAGGGATCAGGCTTCCTTCTCGTCTGAAGGGAATGCGCCGGTGGTGAGAGGAGGCTCTTCGACATCCTTGTCTGTGCCCTTCACCTTGGTGTCTGGTTCAGGGTTGAGTGCAGGCGAGGTGGGTTTCGAGGCCGCAAGTTCATCTTCAGACGAAGACTGGGATGCAAGGAACACGGACTTGGAGAGGGGAGATGCCGACTTTGGCGAGGTGGAGGTATGTCTTGAAGTATGAGACGAATGGCTGGAGGTACGGCGTTTCCCTCCATCGGGCTCGTTTGAGATCTCTCTGGCCAGGGGCTGAGGGAGATCCGATTCCGAGTCAAGACTGAGAGCGAGCAGACCTGAATCATGAGCCTCGGAGAGCGTGGCAACAGTGGAAAGCGTTCGGCCTGGGTTCCGTGCCGGTAGCGCGGGAGGGTGGCGTTTCGGGATGGTTACAAGTTTAGCTCGAGCAAAGGGTGGGCTCTTGGAGTTGATCTGTTGCGGGATAGCGTGCTCGGCTACTGCAACAGCTATTTCAGCCTCGGGAATAGACTCGGGCAGAGACTCTGGTATGGCCTCGGGGATCTTGGGGGAGATCGATTGGGCTCGCGATGTAGCCGTTGAAGCAGGGATGGGGATGGAAGCAGGGTCAGGTTCACCCGTGGACGAATGTTCCGTATCTGACTCGGTTGTCGTGTTCTCGTGCATCGATGAGGAGAGGTCCTTTATGCTGTGAGACCGAGACGAGGTCCTGCTGACGGATGATGGACTCTGGCCCCGTTCAATATCCTGGAAGTTGGTCTGTGTTCCCTTATCGGTACTCATGGTGCTCTGTGTGCTGAAGCGCCAGCTGCTCGTCGCGCTCCATCTGGGGCTGATGGGGCTGGTGGGACTGGGCCGAAAGTCAAAAACGTCGAGCGAGGGCGGCTTCTTGGTGCCTGCTTCGCGGATGATAACGCCCTCTCGCTCCAGGGCCTTGACGCCATAGGGATCTGGGTCGTCTTCCTCTGGCACCCCAAAGGTGCCGGCTAACGAGATCTCTGCGTCGCCGGGAGCCTCACCGGGGGGAGGTAGCATGCCTTCATCTATATCCCGGTCACCCTGTGCCGCCTTGATGGTCTGTATCAGGGTTGCTATAGATGAGGGAGGGTTTTTGGCTTTTCCCGAGAGGATGTCTGAAACACTGATCTTCTCGCCGTAGAACCGCTCGTTTTCGTCCGTCCGTTCGATGATGATGGTTCCGTCGACCTGGACTCCGGCATAGAGGCCTCGACTCTTGAGATATGACCATATGGGCGCCTGTCGCTTGTGCACTTCCGAGTCAAGAACGCCTCCTATGCCTACCGGCCCGGCAACCGCGCTCAGCGAGCCACCGAGGGTGCATCTGAGCGACTTGAAGGCATCGAGGGCCTCGTAGGTGTTTATAACGACAACACAGTCGTAGATGTCGACGCCCATGAGGAAACCTAGGCCAGCGGTATGCAGCATAATACCGGACGGTGGACTCCATTCGCCCGTCTCTGCCAGGCGTGCAACCAAGACACCACTGCCACCTGCTCCGCTGACCCATAGGCCTGTTCGCATAGTAGTGAATATCGCCAGTCCCTTTGCTTGCCTGATGACAGAGGCAGGTATCTTCTTTAGCGCCCGCTGCTTGCCTCTGGGGCCGTCATCCACCTGCAGCTGTTTCTGTTGCTGCAGCTGTGGTTGTTGCGACTGCTGCTGCCGCTGCTGCGGCGGCGGCGATGGCGGCGGCGACGGCTGCTGCTGAAAGCTGAATCGCCATGAGAACCGGCTACGTTCCGGTGAGGCTCGAACCTCCGCCGTCTTCGGCGGGGTGCTGCTCGACTCGACCTGGCCGTAGAAGCCATCTTTGCAGAAGCTCCGCAGTATGCGCGCAGCCTTTTCGCTCTCTTTGTCCAGCGTCGTCGGCCAGAATGCCTCTGCGCCAAGCTTGTTGGATAGTCGGTTGACCGGCCGTCCAATCCTATCAAGCTGGTGCCATGCCTTGTCGAAGCCGCGCTTTGAGTAGCCTTTGGTCCGTTCCCACGTCGTCGTCGACGTCTGTGACATGGTGTTCTTCGTCCTTTCCAGACTCCGAGAGATGGATAGAATTAAGAAAAAAGAAGAAAAGAAAGAGAGGAATAAACAGCTGGTTAAGGTCGGTCTCGACCAGCCGCGGAATGCAGGATCTATCGTCTCGTTCGCTCTGTGGCGTCCGTAGTGCTGTATATGTTCAGGATAGATGTATATAAATTGATGAGAGGGGCCGAAGCGGAACCCTTCTCACCCTTCTCTCTCTATCTCGCCCTCCCCCCCTGCGGCCGTCTTTTCTCTCTTGGTCTTCCGTCTCTGCAGCTTGTCAGCTTGATGCTGGTTGCTGAGTGTGTCGCGATGCAAGGGTGTTTCAGGCCAAACCCCTTGCTTGCCCTTGTCCTGCAACAAACAGAGAAGGACACAGTTATTTAAAATAGAAGAAAAGAAAAAAAAAATTAAAAAAAAAGGAAGTGTTTAATGGTTGTTCTCAACCAGGGACTGGACCGGTTTTTGCCTTGTGGAACAACGCAAGGAAGAAGAAAAGAAGAAGAAGAAGAAGAGAAGATGTAAAGAGAGAAGAAGAAGGACGGCGACAGGTATCCGTATATAGATAGATATCCGCAGGGCCGGTCGATGCGTGCTATATATATCAATATAACCAAGTCCTGCAAACGCAAGTTCGTCAAGGTCAAGGTCAAGAATGCATCATCGTCTTGCCCCCCATGCCCGCAGGCCGTCTAATAATCCTCGTCTCGTCTTCTTCTTCCTCTCTTTTTTTGCGTCTCTCTGCTCTGCTCTTCGGGTTCTCGCGGGGAGGCTAAAGACGTATTATAAGTATGAGTTTTTCAATCACGAAGAAGAAGCGAAAGCGAAGAAAAGAAGCAAAAAAAGATCCTTCTGGTCAGTCACTCGCCTTCTTGCTCCTTGCATGAAAAAAATAACAAGCAGGTCTTGTATTTCGCTACGTCATCAGGTCGAAAGTACCTGCGTTGACGGTGGACGGCTCGCCAGAGACGAAGTACCTGGTACCTTGCATCCCTCTTCATCTATCTGCTATGGACCAGCAGCAAGCTTCATCCTTTTTTTTTTCTCGCTTGCGGCGTTCGGAGTTCGTTGGAAGACGGTTCATCCTTTTAATATCTCCGTAGCGTGTTGTATATTAATTGGATCTATCGAAAGCGATACAAGGTAATCAGCCAAGTTAATTAATATTAGTTGTATTAACATGGGCTGAGAAGGGGAAAAGTGGTTAAAAAAAAAAGCTCCTAGCCAGGATCGAACTGACGTCGTCGGAATCAAAATCCGATGTGCTACCACTACACCATAGAAGCATAGCTAGTGAGAGGCCGTCGGTTGAGTTGTAGAAGGAGAAGTGGCGAGGAGACGATAGAAGATGGAGAAGGGAGAGAGAGGAGGAAGAGAGGAAGAAGAAGATAGAAGAAGAAGAAGATAGGAGAGGAAGAAGATAGGAGAGAGAGAGAAAGTAGGTCTATGTTTTAGACTCCTGCCCATGTACACGTCTGGCCCCCAAAACAAGACAGGGACATAGCAAGCTGTATACAGAAAAAAGAAACACGCAGAGACAAGGAAATCGTTTCGTTGTACTATATTTACAAAGCTCCAAGGTCCTTTAGCTTGGAGATGAGACCGTCAACGTCCTCCACTTTGCTGCCGCCCTGTCGTGTCGGTGGTTCTGCCGCCAGTTAGCTTGCGAGCACCAGAGAGAGAGAGATAGATAGAGAAAACATACCAGTGACTTTGACAGTGTTTAGCCGTCTCGACTCGTCCAGGCCAAAGTCCGCCAGAGTCGCCTTCTCGATTGGCTTCTTCTTCGCCTTCATGAGGTTAGGCAGCGTAGCGAACTTGGGCGTGTTCAGTCGCAGATCGGTCGTGATGACCATGGGCAGCTTCGACTCCAGCGTCTCTACGCCACCGTCCACCTCTCTCGTCACCTCGACGGTGCCAGCCTCGTCCTTGACCGTCACTTTGCTCGCCTGCGTAGCCTGAGACCAGCCCAGCAGACCGGCAAGCATCTGTCCCGTCTGTCCGTGGTCGCCGTCAATCGCCTGCTTGCCCAGGAAGACCAGGTTGATCTTCTCCTTCTCCACCACGCCCTTGAGCATCTTGGCCACCGTCAGCGGCTCGAGGCCGGAGTAGAAGCCCTCCTTTGCGTCGGGCACTTCGACGTGCATCGCTCGGTCGGCGCCTAGGGCGAGGGCGGTTCGCAGCACGTCCACGGTCTTGGGCCCGCCCGCGGAGACGGCCAGCACCTGGGACACCTTCATAGGCGACTGGTCGTCTCGTCGTAGACGGGCAGCCTCCTCCATTGACAGTTCGTCGAATGGGTTCATGGCCTGTCGCATGCCGGTTATATCAACGCTTGTCTGCGTCTTGCCGATGCGGGGTTTAAGCTGGAGGTTCGTTGACCGTCAGTATCGCAATATACACCACTCTGAGATAGTGGCCACAGATAGTAGTAACCTCCATCCAAGGAGCCGCCCGTCCAGGCGAAGCTACACAGCCGGTCGCCTTTTCTCCCGTCATCACTCCCGGCAGGATGCTGAAAAAGTACTCACGGTATAGTCAAGAACCCTCTTGACCGGCACTAATATCCTTAACGCATTGGCCATTGTGAATGTCTGTCTGTAGCTATTTCAAGCAAATGCCTCCAAGCCCCGCGCAGCTGCTAATCCGC